TAGTTTTGAGTTCTCCTTCAGTCACTTAGTCAACAAATGCTTGTGCTAGGTGATCTTAGCTTGCATGGAATTTACAATATAGTAGAGAACACAAAAAATAATTTTAAAATGTTCAATGGTGGCCAGTGATGAAAAGGTAAATAAATTACAAGGTGATTTCTCAATATACAAGAGGGTAAGCCGATTATTTTTTAGAGTTTATGGAAATATATTTTGAGGAAAGAGAACTCAACTCTACCACCACCAAGACGAAGGATGAGTAGAAATAACTTGGGGAATAATTTCTATGAGGATGTTCTATAGGGAAGTAACTAGAAAGATTCCAATAAAACATGGCATGATACCAGAAGGAGGGAAGAACTGTCACAAAGAGAGTTTGGTATAGAACAGTAGCTGCATAGGAAGCTGTACTAACTTTTCTCTGTGAAGATCTGTGATATGTCTGCTAACCTGGCATATTACCTAATGTAATCACAGCCATACAACAGCCTCAAGACAAATCAAGAGCCATAAGAGTTTGGGACACGACTTAGAGTGTCACTGAATGAAATACAGTAAATATCACTGAGTTTAAATAGAAGACTAGCTTCTAGAGTAACAAGTTGTTATTACTGAATAAACAGCCAATAAAATAAGAAATATACAAAAAGTTTACAACAGAAGATGCATTATAACACCAGATAATTCAAATTGGTTCCACTTTAAGAATGGTAATTAATCATTTCAAAGGCACTGGAAATTATGGATAAGGCCCACAAGAAACCAAAGTGTTCTCCTGTATATGAAGAATGAGGCATAATATTTTAGGTATATTTAGTTAGCTTCGTGAATGAAAAAAAGAAATTGTTATATTTTTGCTTTTTTAAAAAAAATAGACCCAAGAGATCACCCTCTTCTAAACAGAGAAATCTCTGTCCTAAATAAAATTATTAAACTTGTATTAATAATAATTATTACATTAATAATATTAAATTAATAATAATTGTAGTATTATTACATTAGTAATAGTATTAAACTTGCATGTTTTTTTTTTCTCATTGACTTCCTTGGAAAGTGAATTGAGAACTAGATGAAATGAGAAGAAAAATTAAAAGGAAATATAAGAAGAAAGATCTTAAGAAAGGTAGATAAGAAAATAATAATGTCAAAACAGAGATGAGAATACAACCGTTGTACATGTAATTAATTAGTAGAATTATTAATCATCTGTTGAAGAGCTAATGGGTGCCAAATACTGAATTAAAACATGAAAGGGAAATAATTACAATAATTTTTAAAAGTAATGATGTTGTCGTCTTGTCTCCAGCATGTTCTAGATTTCATAAGGGCAAGAAACATAAGAATAATTACAATGCAACAGGATGAATCCTGTAATCCAGGAAAGTATAATATAAGGTAGCTGTAAGGAGAGACAAATGAAGAGATATACCACTGTTGCTTTTGTCTATTTAGCATTGCTTTCCCCTTCTTTCTCTGGCGACCAAACTAATCTTATCTGGGGAGAAACATTTCATGCAGTTCAGTGGAGCCAATGAGACAAACAGGGCTTTGAAGAGCTCTTGTGACAGTAATTAGTTTCAATGATGACTATGTGATCCAAGCTACACTAATTTGCTTTTTTGCGAACTTTTATTCAATTACCAAGATTCTGCCACTGAGATTTTAAGTTTGAAAGATATTAGTATAGGCCTTGATGACGAGAGGGCCAGAATGTGAAGGAACTCCAGTGTCTAGCCATGACTAAAATCTGTCATACTCCATGACTTCCAAAGAATTTAGTAAAAAGAATTTTTACCCCGCTTGGAAATGAAAACAATTCTTACTTATACGAAGGATATTACAATCTATTCTTGTTACATACATTTCTAAAAGAAAAGGCCAGGCGTGGTGGTTCACGTTTATAATCCCAGCACTTTGGGAGGCCAAGGTGGGTGGATCACGAGGTCAAGAGATCAAGACCATCCTGATCAACATGGTGAAACCCCGTCTCTACTAAAAATACAAAAATTAGCCGGGCATGGTGGTGCGCGCCTGTAGTCCCAGCTACTCAGGAGGCTGAGGCAGGAGAATTGCTTGAACCCGGGAGGCGGTCCAGCCTGGGTAACAACAGCGAAACTTGGTCTCAAAAAAAAGAAAAGAAAAAGCAAGCCGTCTTGAATTTCAATCTTGAAAATGTTTTTAAAGATAATAAAGTCATAATTTCTGCATTTATAGACAATTGAATCCTGATATTTTGCATTCTTCATTAAGTAGATCTAAAGTAGTTCAAAAACATAAAAAAGCAAAGCAAGTTTTTGAGCTATTAGACTACTAGACTTCTGGGATTATGCAAACAACATAATGGCTTATGTAGGATTCTGAGGTCATGAATTTCTCATGCAGATAAAAATAACATGTAGAAAATGAGGTGGAATATTGAGTGAGTGCAGAGAAAGAGTCTAATTTAAAACTCATTATAAAATTTACCTACTAACAATGTAGGACACTACACATGCAGTTATAAGTGTATCTTAACAAACTACAAAATGAAAGAGAATTTTTGAAGTGTTTAGCTCCAAGCATAAAGCTTCTGGAGTTGACAAGTTCCTTTTTAATATTTGATTTGAAAATCTTGAGCATGACAGTAACAACTTAAGATGCAAATTAAATGTTTCAGGAAACAGGAGAGATGAACATTTTAATTGCATTTCCCATGAATAAAATGTTATAAAGTTTCCCACTGGAAGGGAGGCAGCTTTGTTTCACAGTCTAAATTTCGCTTTGGATGGTTTGGGAGGAAATCTTAATGCTATTCTCATTTTTTCTTATTTTCTTCTCCATTTTGTGTTAAGAATCTTCCTATACCCTGCTGTCTTAGGATGTTGTCAGAAGAACTACTAGGAGACAAGCTTTATTATTATTTTTTATTGTACTTTAGGTTCTTTATTTTAAAAGGAGTTAGTTAGTTACAAATGAGAACACGTCAATGGGCTGCATGTGACCTAGGATCAGCAGTGAATGCCTTGGAAAGGCTCTTCCCTCCAGGTCTACCTGCCCAGCTAACAATAAACTTGGGTTTGCATTTCAACACAATCTGCAATTTTTTGCTTTAGGATATATCAGTGAGCCTAAACTAAAAATTAAGTCCCTTGTTCTTTGACCAATCAAGGATAACCAGCCTTTCTCCTGAGGTAGAGCCTTTGCAAGGTGATTAAGTCATGAGGGTGGCTTCCACATGAATGAGATTATGGCTCATGTAGAAAAGACCTTGAGAGTTCCTTTGCCCCTTTCAATATGTGAGGTTACAGTGAGAATCTGGCCATGTATTAACCAGAAAGTGGGCCCTCTTTAGACACTGAATCTGCTGGCACCTAGATCTTGGACTTTCCAGGCTCTAGAACTGTGAGAAATAAATTTCTGTGTTTATAAGATTCTATTTTGTTATAGCAGCCTGAACAGATAAATAAAGAAGGTTAAAAATGTTATTACTAACTCTATTAGCGCTGTAATGAATTACTCTATTCTCTTCCTGATAGATTCAGACGCTCACACATGATAGACTGCTGTTTGATGTTCAATGCTTTCCCCATAACACAATAAACATAGAGATACATAAGGGCTTGCAAAGAAAAGAGCAGTAGAAGAAAAAGAAATGACCTTAGAAATTACATTTTCAAAGTCAATAAACTGTCATGTTCCTATATGACTTCAGAACCCAAAGCAATATCAACAGAGGAAGTTACAGGATGAGAGGTGAGAGCAGGTGGCTTTACCTCGGGGCCTGGGACTGTCTTGTGAAGCTGGCATAAAGTCAGTTCAAGCCCATGCTGAGCTAGTTATCACAGTGGCAGCTGGGATAAAAGACAGGTGAGGCTGAGAGGCTCTGACATGGTACATAAGACGTGCCCAAAACACAAGGATTGGTAGAGATTTCCAGATTTGCATACAACCACTGACGAGGGCAGAGAATTTACACATGCATTTTCTGTATTAACTTCATTTGTTTTTACTTTACTCTTTTGGACATTCCAAAACTTGTTCAATTTATTTCTTTGTCTTGAAGCAAACAAAACTCTGCACTTTTAACCAAATGTATAACAAAAAAATAAAAAGAAAAAGCGCTATTGATAATACTGCACTATATACAATATGTAAGGGGAAGGCAAGATTCAATGTACATATGATAAATAAAATTTTACATTTCGATATGTTTGAAATAGTTGGAATCCTACCAATACAAATCTGGCATCAGGGGCTTCTTTTCCCTCTCATGATCAAAGATATTTAGTATATTGAAAATATCTTTCAGCTTCATTTTTATACCTATTTTATATAATCTTAACTCAGTAATTACTTCACAATTTTTTAAATGTTCATAATGAAGTTTTTATTGTGTATTTATAACTATATGTAGAGTATATATGTACATATCTATAATTTATGTATATAGATAACATATATGCAGATATATATGCATATGTATGTGATGTTTATGTATGTTTTCTATATACATAAATTATAGACATGTATATGCACATATGTGTTATTTATATACCTAAGTTATAGATATATACAGATATATATAAATATATACATATATATTTATATATATTTGAATATATATATATTCAAATACATATGCACGGAGAAAGAAGGAAAAAAGCAAAATAATATGCAAATTCTATAATTTGCTACTCAGGAAAACATGAAGTTGATGTTTGTATCATTTATTCTAATTGGCCTAATGCATATCTGAACACATTCTATTAAACAGAAAGTCAATTGCACTTCGCTAATGACACTGTCCTCATTAACAATGATCCAAAGAAGAAATTATACTTCAATTTAGTCTACAGCTATTCTTGGGAAGTGTAAACCATTACTCTGGACTTTTTGCATATTTAAATATTCATGATTGGTTTATACATATTTATACTTTAATAATTCTGTATATTAAAAGTAAATGAAAACTGCTATAAATGTGGAGTGGAATTGAGTAAATAGATGGCAGGTGTCAGGTGCCAGGTATGACTGGTGTCTATAAAAAAGGGAAATTTGAACACAGACACAAACACAGTGAGAATACCATGTGAACCTGAAGGTGGAAATTGGGATGACACATTGACAAACCAAAGAACTTCAAACATTGCAGGCAAACCACCAAGAGCTAGGAGAAAGACATAAAACAGATTCTCCTCACTGACCTAAGAAGAAGCCAACCCTGCCAACACTTGATCTTGGCCTTCTAGCCTCCAGAACTATGAGACAATACATTTCTGTTGTTTAAGCCACTCAGCTTGTAGTACTGTGTTATGTCAGCTCTAGCAAACTAATACAGCGATATGGTTCCAAAGAGTGCAGAATGGAAAGAGTGAGAGAGAGAGAAAAAAAGAATAACTTTAAAGTAGAGAAAACTGACAATTTTCTCAGTCGGATGATCAAGGTAACATCAACACTGATGAGTCATAATGATAGTAGGACACCTTGGCCTGATCTGATGACAAAGGCACTTTACTTCTGTGGTCTTTCTTGCAAAACCCATAGTCTCAGTCTGGTTATGAGAGAAAGTATCAGACAAATCCCAACTAAGCAACATTCTACAAAACGCTGACAAATACTCCCCCAAACTGTCAAGGTCATTTAAATCAAGGAAAATCTGAGGAGCTACTGCAACCAAGAGGAGCCAAAGGAGACACGTGATTAAATAAATTGTGGAATTTCGAATGGGATTAAGGAATAGAACATTGGCTTAAAAGTCAGAAAATCTGAAAAACATTATAAGCTTCAGTTAATAATAATGTGTCAACATTAGTAAGTTAATTATAACAGATAGATCATATTAATATAAGATTGAAAATGGAAAAAGTAGGAAATATATGGCAATTCTCTATACTATCTTGTCAATTTTTATGTAAATCTAAAACTTAGTTCTAAAATGAAAAGTTTATTTAAAAAATAAATGCAAATTCGATCAGCTGTATGTTTAGTGATGTGTTTAGAGTACATGAGACAAAGAACTAGGCTTGGCACGGTGGTTCCTGCCTATAATCCCAGCACTTTGGGAGGCCAAGGCGGGTAGATCATTTGAGGTCAAGAGTTCCAGACCAGCCTGGCCAACACGGAGAAACCTCATCTCTACTAAAAATACAAAATTAGCCAGGCATAGTGGTGCATGCCTGTAATTGCAGCTACTCAGGAGGCTGAGGCAGGAGAATCACTTGAACCCGGGAGGCAGAGGTTACAGGGAACCAAGATTGTGCCATTGCACTCCAGTCTGGGTAACAAGAGTGAAACTCCTTCTTAAAAAAAAACAGATAAAGAACTGTGAAATACAGATACATTTAACATGAAATGCAGTTTATAGTAACCCCCATGTGCTCATAAAAGTTAATATACACATTGAATAAAAAAAGATATGATCATTTTTTATATGAATAATGTAGTTCAGTGAGGCAGTATATAAATTTCAAACATGATCTACAACACGTTTTTATCCTTTTAAAAGTATAATTAATAAATTATTTTGCCCCATCAGGTTGTTGGGAATCATAATAGTTCTTGACATATTATCCTTAGACAGTTACATAAACAACCTGTGGTTCATTTATTTTCAGTTAAACAATAATATTTGGTTCAACAATAATGACTTAGAAGAAAACAAAGGAACAGATTGAAAGATTTATCAGTAGATTTTATCTTCTGTGTTATGTGCAAAATCAAATGTGTCTGGGGATTTGGTGCAGAAATCGTTCTGTCATTCTTTGCCTTGTCAATTTCAGGCCACTGCTTCTTAACATCAACACAAGACAAGGTAGACCATTTACAAAAACATCTGAGGCACTAAGATACCAACTCATGTATGGTATATTAACTTTCCCAATAGGACAACACTTCTTAAGAAGACAGAAATGTTTTTACTGAGAATTCTGTATCTGGGAATAATTAATTCATGTCTTGCTTTCTATTTGACTAATGATTAGCATTTATCATTTCTTCATGAATCAACCCAGTTTTAAGGTGGAGAACTGTCAGTCTGAGAGTCTTTGAATCAGGAATTATTATGGAAAGTAGGCCTTACACAATTGTAGGAAACACAGTTCCAGAAGAGGGATTGAATCAGAGGTTGAATCACCAAGCAGTCAATTAGAGAAGCCATGTCCTTCCAGCTAGAGATGGGGAGTTTATGGAGAAACCTATGAGAAGCTGTGGCTTCTGAGTAGCTACTGCCTCAACTGGTCAGTAGGACCAGGAGTAGGAAGCATGTCTGAACACAGAAGAGGCATCTCTGTGAATGTAACTGCTTAGAGCTGGGAAAAGACCTTTGGAGAATAATGACCACTGCCTTATTTCTGCCTTCAAAGTTCACAGAAGCACTTTTTACCAACTCTAATTTGAAACTATACAGAGATATGTAGCTCTCAGTATAATCAATCTGATCACAGTGGGTGTCATATGTATACTCTGTCCTTCTAAAAATTAAATAAAGCTATGAAATGTGACTGTGTTTGAAATCTTTTAGTCTACACATATGCAGGACTTAAAACACTGCTTTGGCCATTTGATTACCAGAGTATCCCCTTTATTAGACAACTTAATGGACTTAGATAATGATATTTTAGTGAGGATCCCATAAGTTGGGGCTTCACATTGATGCTGCTGGTAAATGCTTTCTTCAGAAACGTGAGAAAGAAAATAAGAGATACTCATGGTACAGCTGTGCTTACATCTATGTCTGGATGTAGTCACTGAACACATTAAAACTAGAGACCAAATCTATGATGGAGTGAAAAACTGCTGGAAGAGATAGGGGAGACAAAGCCAGACTGGTAGCCTGGGGTTAGTGGTGGAGGGTCAAAGAATTCACAGAACAAAAGGTGTAGGAGTACATAATAGGAGACAGCACAAATAGTATTCAAAAGCGAGCATTAGACCATTACACTTCTGAGTCAGACATCAGACAAACCTGGGTCTGAGGTGCAGCTCCCTCACTTACTAGTCGTCACTGGACCCTCATCAGTGATTCACTCCTTCTAAGCCTCACTCCTCTCATTGTATACTTGTACAATCTTTGCCGAAAGAGAAACTGCTTCAAAAGTTTATCATAAGAATAACAATACTAACTGCCTATGAAAACTCAGCCGTACATAGAGCCTGACACACAGTAAGTACTTCATAAACATTAATTTCAGGAAGGCAGGGATTTTTATCTATTTTATTATTGCTAGACCATCAACTCTTGGCGCTGCGTACTAGCCTCTCAGATAAATCAATTAATTGAGTTAATAATGGTAGCTGTTTTATTGCTATTCTTGCATTGGTTGGTGTAATATACTGAGGTGTGCAGTATTCATAAGGAGATATATCATGATTGGTTTGTTTGTGTATCTCCAACCCACATAAGCATGTGCTGCTTTCAAAATATTTAAAGAAGACAGATTTGCCATTGGGTTTCCAATATACCAGGAGTCTCGACATTCTGAGTGTAGCCATGATAATCAGTCTTTTAACATCACCACTGCTTGACAGCGTTTTTCCACATAAACTTCTTCACATGAATGCTTTTTTAAAGGCTGGTGGTGATCACTTTTGATTTTTACTTCTGGCCTCAGGCACTGTAGTGTATCTTTGCTGAACAAAATGCTGTTATTTCCCAGAACTACTTTCTAACATTTGAAGTCATATGTCATGCTGTCTCTCTCTTTTTCTTCTCAGCTCTTAAGAGCAGCAAATGCCACTGTTGTTTCCTGTAATCTTTGCAGTGTCTTGCATATAAAGTGAGGACCAAAATGTGCCATTTTTAAGGCTACAGCCATTTCTAAACTTCAGGGTAAATGCCAACATTCTCCTTTTGTTCCTACTGGGGATGTTTGGGTGACCCTATTAGCTATGCAGATATAAGACAGTGTAGAAATGAAAATGAAGGTGCCTCAGACTAAGCTGCTGAGAATTCTGTTTAATCATTTAGCCATGTAAAAGGCTCTATTTACTTTGAGTTGATTTAGTCTTTGCAGATATAATTATGGTGTTAGGATATATTAGTTTCCTCTGGCTGAGGTCAGGTAGGCAGAGTGAATAAAGAGCTGAGAAAGGATGAATTTGTCCCCAAAAAAGAGAATTTGATTATATTCCAATAATATATATATATATATATATAATTTTTTTATTATACTATTGGATTATAATTATTTTCAATAATATGGATATAACCCAGCAGCTGAAAAGACATGTCCAATGTCCAGAGAACTTGAATCAAAGAGAATATCCCAAAAATAGAGAAAGTTATGAGAGAGCCAGATTTAACCTTTTCATTTTTACATTGGAATCTCCTCCCCTTTAAGAGAATACATTGTACAGCCAGAACAAGTGGGCTTAAATCCTAAGTTCATCACGTATTAGAAACATGTCCTTGGGAAATTTATATACACTCTCACGGCTTTAGAATCTTATCTATAAAATGGAGAAAATAATACGTATATCCTAGGATTGGTAGGATAATTAAGTGAACATGTAAGTATATATATTAGAAATGATATTGCTTAAACAGCGTATAGTTCATAGCAAGTACTGAATAGGTGATTGTTATTTTACCAACCATATTATTGCCCCAAGGGTAGATAAAATCATGAGAACATTGGAATAGCTGTGTTTAGGAACTTATGGCCATGCTTTGGGATGCTCAGGAATAAGATGTGTTCATGAGACAGCTAGAGATAACCTGTAAGGGAGAAAAAAATGTAACATGGAAAACAGGATGGATTTCTAGGACTTGTCGGGAGTAATCTCAGAAATCCTTGGGAAGAAAACTAGATTTCCTGCAATGATCCAGTACGGGGGCTTAGATTATTGTTGTGTGTACGTTAAAAGTGCAGATTGAGTATCCTTTACATGAAATGCTTGGGACCACAATGGAGTTTTGGTTTTTGGAGATTTTAAAATATTTTTTATACGTAATGAGATATCTTGGAAATGAAACCTAAGTCTAAACATAAAAATTCATTTATGTTTTATATAGATGAGCCTTTACACACAGACTGAAGGTAATTTTATACAACATGTTAAATAATTTAGGGCATGAAACGAAGTTTATATACGCTAAGCCATCAGCAATTGTCACTGCTTATTATAATCCCCTCCTGAAAGTTCCTTCCTCATTGGCTTCCAGGATTCCACATTCTCTTGGCTTGGCTCCTATTCATCTGGATGGTTCTCAGTCCCTTTACGGCTCCTCATCTCCTCAATTGCTGCTTGTTGGCATATTCTGGCCTTCATCTCTATGCTACCTATACTTCCTAGATGATTTTCTCTAGTCTCGGGTCTTTAAGTATCATCTATAGGCTGGGCACAGTGGCTCATCCCTGTAATCCCAGCACTTTGGGAGGCTGAGGTGGGCAGATCAGGAGGTCAGGAGATCGAGACCAGCCTGGCCAACATGGTGAAACCCTGTCTCTATTAAAAATATAAAAATCAGCTTGTGTCGTGGCACACGCCTATAATCCCAGCTACTCAGGAGGCTAAGGCAGAAGAATCTCTTGAACCTGGGAGGCAGACTCCAGCCTCGTGACAGAGCAAGACTCTGTCTCAAAAAAAAATTTTTTTTCATCTATATTATACAGTCTATCAAATTTATATCTTCATCTTGGACATTGACACTAAACTTCAAATCCACATATATAGCTACCTGGTGACACCACGGATGTCTAAGAGCTATCTGAGAGTTAACATGTTGAAAACATAGCTCCTGGTGTCCACCTCTCACCACCTCATCCCTCCAAAGAAACAGCCTCACTCTTTTAGTAGCAGCTTCATGCGTCCAATCTTACAACAAAGCCTTGAGGTCATGTTGATTTATTTCCTCTTCTTTCATCCTAGATCCACTTTATTGGCAAGCCTGGTTGATTCCAACATCCAAATATGATAGAATACTTAGTATTATCTCCACTGCTAGTACCCCAGGAAAACCATCATATCTGGCTTAGATGAGTGCAATTGGCTCCTAATCGATATCTCCATTTTTACTTTTATTTCCCTAAATATATTCTACATATAACAGCTACTAGTGCTACTTAAAAAAAACAAAACAAAACAAAACAAAATACTATCATCTTCCAGCTTCCAGAACTGTGAGAAAACTTATCATCACATTTCTCTTTAAACTGTTCAATGGCTTCTATTTGCAGTTGAAACAAAAGCCAAAGTTTTCTCTGTAAGTTATCGGGCCCTGCTACCTTTTTGATATTTTCAAATACTTGCTTCTCATTCACTTTCCATCAACCACATTGCCTCCCTTGCTCTTTCTCAAATAGTGCTCTGTACTTGTGCTCCCCATTTCCTGGATAATTCTTCATCTAGACATTCATAGTGCTAATTCACTAATGCCCAACAGGCTATCAGCCAGGACACAGAAACTACATTAGGTTTTTCAGTGGAGAAGACTGGATGTGGAATTGGTTAAGCAGGTACTGAAGGACAGAAACAGCCAGAGGCAACATGAAGGCTAGTAAGACATAGTAAATTCAGGCAGCAGCTACCACTGCTCCAATTGGGACAAACAACAGGGAGGGTTTTAGGTTATCAGAGCCTTCACTCAGAGGAGTGTCCACAGGGCTGTGACTCAGATATCTGAAAGTGGGCCGGCCATCTGGGCACTGGGAGCTTGGGAACTCAAAGGAAGGCTTCCATGAGGTTTGGTCTCATACCTCAGAGGAAAAAAACTGAATCGTATGCCCCCCACCCCAAATCTATGTATTGCAGCCTTAATCCTCAATGTGATTATATGTGGAGGTAGGAACTTTAAAGAGGCAGTTAAAGCTAAATAAGATTGTAAGAGTTGGCCGGGTGCGGTAGCTCACACCTGTAATCCCAGAATTTTGGGAGGCCTTGGCAGGTGGATTGCCTGAGCTCAGGAGTTCGAGACCAGCCTGGGTAACACGGAGAAACCCTATCTCTACTAAAATAAAAAAAGTTAGCTGGGCGTGGTGGTGGGCACCTGTAGTCCCAGCTACTTGGGAGGCTGAGGCAGGAGAGTTGCAAGAACCCAGGAGGCAGAGGTTGCAGTGAGCTGAGATCATGCTACTGCACTCCAGCCTGGGTGACAGAGCAAGACTCCATTTCACACACACAGGCAAAAAAAGAATTGTAAGAGTTGAGGGCCCTAATGCAGTATGGCTGACGTCCTTACAAGAAGAAGAAGAGACACCAGGGATGTGTGCACACAGAGAAAAGCCATGTAAAGACAGAGCCAGAAGGTGGCTGTCTGCAAGCCAAGGATAGAGTCCTCAGGAGAAACTTTGATCTTGAAATTTCTGCCTCAAGAACTGTGGGAGGAAAAAAAAATACCACAGATCCAGCTTGCAGTATTTTATTATGGCAGCCAGAGCAGACTGACACAGAGCCCTTCCTGTGTGTACTGGTGCTCAGGGAATTGAATAGGGTATGAGGATTCTGAGTCCCGGACTCTGAAGAGTCAGAATGCGACTGGTTCAGAAAGCGCCTGAAAACAAGGATCATCTATTTCTTCCAGGGTGAAAGGATCCTTTTAGAGTGATGCTGTCGGGAACAGAATAGGAAGAAATCTTTTTTTCCTTCTGCACTCCAGTGTCCCTTTAGTGAATTCTATTGGAAGTACTTATAAAATCATCTGCAATAGAAAAATATAGT